CCGTCGCACGACAGGCAGGAGCCTCGTGCCCAGCTGATGGTAGACGTTGAGAGTCTCGTCCACCGGTAAGACGAGACACATCCGATTATTTAAAAATGCCAGAAAAAATACGCACCCATAGCGCTGGTGGAGCGATTGCAGGATAGGAATCGCATCTCGCATCTCAGAATAGATGAAGGTCCACCCGAGGGCAAACTAAGGGAGTACAGCTTCTAATGGATGCGTTGAGTGTTGTCGAAACATGATGAAAATAGGTCGTCCCACGCGAGGCATGGAATTCCTGCCTCACAAAATATACAGTGCAATCTGGATTTTTCATTAGTCAAAGGTTCGTTTCTTAGAACTAATACAAGCTGTGTTGAGTTTCTGATGCCAAGCTTCGCGCTAGTGTGCTACACATTGAGTGCAAAGGCGTTACACGCCTGCAGCTACGAGCTTTTGGATCGGTATGACTTTATACGATACCATCGATGCTTCAGAAAGCATTCAGACAGAAGTCTTCTTCCGCGCGAAAGTCACTAGCGCTGATGTCAAGGCCGTGCATCAACCGCGCATCGAATAATGGAATACGATGACAAAGGCTTTCTGTCCTGGAAGATCAATCACAAGCCTTTCTGGTAATACCGAATGTAACGGGGTGAATCGTTACATAGCAATTTATAAGAAGTTGTTAATAGAATATAACTATAAGAGTTATATTCTCAGAATATTGTCATAAGGACAAATATTCTGTAGCACTTACGAGTAGTTCCTAATTGGTTGATATAGGCCATTATATCAACCAACGAAGACGCGCCACGACAGACGCACGCAATGAGTGGTGAGCAGATAATTGATTTACACATTTGTATTTAGACATAGTTAGATGAAGAAAAATAGTGATTTATTGCAGACATTAACTATGATAAATACAGTTCTACTTTTTACTTTAACCAAGTACTCGCTTCTTCTTACCGTCTTCCTCTACACGTACGAGTGTACGTGAAGTTCAGAGGCACCGCCTTATTCTGTCATCAGAATAAGTAGCTTGTACTGTCACCAGCACAAGCTTCAGGGTGCCCCGTTACACCTGGTAGCACTTTGTAGTCCTTCCAAGGACCACGTTCACATCTAACATGAATATGTTGGATGATGAAGATGACCAAAGCTTTCACGCTACGCGTGACGGCTACTCCCATTTGAGCGATGTCGAATGGGATGCGGTTGAACGAATGGGTTCGACCATGGGCATATATGCTGTTAGCGTCATGCTAGAGGCTCTCAATAGAGATGCCCATCATGCCACTATCGCCAAGTTCATTCAAAATGAACTTGACGCTGAACGCGAGAAAGTAGCCTTGCTTCACCAACAAGGTTCTCAACAAGCAGAGTTGTTGAGAGAACAGGGTGCTCAACAGTTTGAACTGTTGAGACAGCAGCAGGCTGCTGCTGGTGGGTCGATGCACTCGCGTCGACCCGAAACCTTGAAGATTGACATCTCCAAGTATAGGGGGGTCGAAGAAGACTCCCTCTTGAGATGGCTCGTCGAATTGGATGACGCCATAAGGGCGCGTCGCATCGACGACGGGGATATGCAAGATGCATTTGCCCAGTCAAATCTGGCAGGACGTGCCAAGACTTGGGCACTGGGGCTCAAGTTGCACGACCCATATGCGTTTGGGTCGTTGGAAGTCTTCAAGTCGCGGCTCAGACAAACGTTTGAACCGCCTAGAGCTGAGTTCAGGGCTCGAACCGAACTCTTGAAGCTCAAGCAGGGTAAGCGTGATGTGCACGCTTACGCTCAACATATACGACATCTTACGAGTTGTATAAGTTCCAATCCGGTGGATGAACACACGTTGGTTTCGGTGTTCATGCAGGATCTTGCGGATGGTCCCGTCAAGACTCACCTGTTCCGGCTTGAACTAGATTCACTAGAACAAGCCATTTCCATTGCGGAGCAGGAGACTTCAGTCTGAGACAGGCTCGCGCCAGCTCGACATCATATCGTCAACCGAGACGATATGACAACGGACGTCCAGAGCCGATGGAACTCTGTTATGTAGAGAGCGAGAAGGCTCGCTCTACAGACTACAAGAAGTTGCAGAGATGCAACAGATGTCAAAAGACAGGACACTACGCTTACGAGTGTGGTGCCCCTCGTCCAGTGTCTCGCGACACTGAGCATAGTGACCGTCCACCCATGAGAAAGAGGCAGGGACGAGGGTCCGCTGCTGGTGCAAAGACGCAACAACGGGATGGACCGTCAAAAAACAGACAGGATCAGTAGGTGCGGAGCACCCTACTGGTCCAGCAACGTCAAGAGAATTTGTAGGCCTCTTGATGAAGGTTGCTCCCAACACACAAACGTTGTGCGTTGCTGCTCTAGGTAATGAGATCTCACTCATTACCTTGAAACTCGAAGTGACGAATAAGTTGTCCCTTCGAGCCCTAGTCGATTGTGGGGCGTCCAACAATTTTGTGCGACGCCAATCGCTAGAAGATGGTCACTCTAAGTTCAGTGAATGTGACACACCTCCTACGAGGATGACGGTACGTCTTGCGACAGGCGCATCCGTAACCGTCATGAAGCGTATAGTGAAGATCCACTATACGCTAGAAGATACCCAATATGACGATGACTTTATCGTATTGGATTTGGATGACAAATTTGATGTCATCCTTGGAATACCGTGGCTCAGAAGTTACGAACCACGGGTAAACTGGCAACATCGGACAGTAACGATGCCTGCCGCTTGTTCATCAGATGGCCATCTGATGAACGTTTTGGAGCGTCCACAAGCGTGTGGATGTACTACGAGCGAGTGCGATGGCCTCACTTGTGGTACGGTCGTTAGTACGACTGCACAAAACCTTAGTGTACCAAACGGTTACACTTCGGAGCAAAGTTCCGGCGGCTGTGAGGAACCACAGGCTGCGCCGAAGGTCCACCACTCGAATAAGTCGAGTGGACTGGGACAAAGATGTATCCCTAGAGGGGAACATCTAGAAGAGAAACAATCGATCGCTCAGGTTAAGCAAAACAATAATCCTAAATCGACTGGAGAGTCTTTCGTAGAGGATCTCGCTGTGGTTGCGCAACCCCAGCAAGAGGAAGTAAAGGGAATAAGTCCCGATATTACAGATACGGCGGAAATGAGTTCCCCGAAACCCGCGGGAATAAGTCCCCGGGAAGCCGAAGGAATAGTCCTTCGAGGCCTGAGGGAATAAGTCCCCAGGAAATGACAGAAAAATTGAATGTCCTAGTGAATGATGGATCAAGTGTAGGCGCTTAAACACTTGATCTGATTGCGCCCCCGAAGTTGACTTCGGAGATCACTCAGTTGCCAACGCTCGAACATAAAAGGTTCTTGCGTGATCTGCGTAGTGGCAAAGTCAAGCAGATCTGCGTGCTTAAAGGTACTCGACACGAGGTCGAGCTTAAACCAGGCTCGAAGTACTGTGTCATGAAGCAGTGGCCACTGCCCCGTGAACAAGTACTTGCGATCGACAAGTTCTTTGCCGATCGTTTAGCTGCGGGTCATGTGAGGGAATCAACTTCCCCACATAGCTCTCCGACCTTCTGTGTGCGAAAAGCAACAGGAGGGTGGCGGATAGTGCATGCATTTTACAAGTTGAATGCTGCAACGGTACCGGATCAGACGCCGATACCGAGGAAGGACGTAATCATTGATGGCATGTCAAAGAGTACCATCTTTTCGTCCATGGATGGCTTCTATCAAATCCTTATGCGAGAACGGGATATACCCTATACCGCAGTTAGCACGCCTAGCGGCATGCTCTGGGAATGGCTAGTAATGCCACAAGGGCTTAGTAATGCCCCTGCCACGTTCGACAGATGTGTATCACATCTGTTGAGACCAGTACGAGAATTCGCGCCGAGTTATTTCGATGACGTATTCATCCATAGTCGAGCTATGGATGGAAAGTCGGACGTTGAGGTTCACAGGTACCACGTCCGACAGGTTCTGACAATCATGCGAAAGCATCAATTGTATGCAAACCTCAAGAATTGTATATTTGCAGCAAGCGAAATACCACTTCTTGGGTGCATCGTTGGTAAGAACGGTGTACGTCCTGATCCCTAAAAGGTCAAGGCGATCACCGACTGGCCTGTGCCGGTTGATGTCAAAGGTCTTCGAAAATTCCTTGGGCTAGCGGTGTATTTGCATAAGTATTCACGCAATTACGCCGAGATGACTGTGCACCTCTCTCGTTTGTTGAAAAAGAACTAGAGGTGGTTATGGAACGCTGAATGTCAACGCTCCTTTGAGGGTATCAAGCAGAGCTTGATACAATCCCCAGTCCTAGCAATAGCCGATCAGGACAGGCAATTTCATGTGGTCTGTGATGCCAGCGATTTCGCAATCGGCTGTGCATTAATGCAGTACGATCTTGAAGGCGTTGAACGCGTCGTCTGCTATCAGTCGCGTCAGCTGCAATCAGCTGAGCGGAACTATCCAGTGCATGACAAGGAACTCCTTGCCATGAAATATGCACTCGCGAAGTTCAGAGTCTACCTATTTGAAGATAGACCCTTCACTGTTTACACTGACCACGCGTCATTACGCACGGCAGTAAACAGCCCGCACCTTTCACAACTAATGGCGCGGTGGTTGTCATTCTTTGCAGAATACAACTTTACGGTCGAGTACAAACCAGGACGACTTATTGTCGTTGCTGATGCAATCTCACGTCGTCCCGAATTTAAATTAGCCGTGAAACCCAACAGTTGGACAGCCACTGTTGCGGTTATGACGTCCTCAGTACCATCTTAAACGTTGCATGATGATGTGAGGCGGGCATACGCCCAAGATGGTGAGATGTGAAGTTGTTGACACATCTCTCACAACCATCTCGAGAATCGTTGAAACGATTGTCGCCTGCGTATCGATCTGCATCAGATCGCTACTCGCAACGGTTTACTGTATTATACAGCCGTTTCTGGTGACACACCACGTGTTGTCATTCCAGATGATACTGATCTGCGTTTGCGGATCATGTTCGAGTATCACGATGCTCCTATAGGAGGACATCGTGGCCGGGAGAAAACACATCTCACGGTGAGTCGAGACTTTTACTGGCCCCGCCAGTATCAGTTTGTGCGAAAGTATGTTCGCGCATGCGAAGTCTGCCAACGAGTGAAGTCAAGTCCTTCACTGCGTGCACCATTACAGCCTCTACCGGTTCCGGCTGAGTGCTGGGAATCCATCTCAATGGATTCCGTCTTCGGGTTACCCAAAGACGCACGCGGGAATACGGGTATTCTCGTATTTGTTGACAGATTTAGCAAAATGGTACACCTTGTGGCTGTACCAGAGTCAATCACGGCAAGTGGCTGTGCTTGTGTCTTTATTGACACCATCTTCCGACTTCATGGGTTGCCCCGTGAACTCGTATCAGACAGAGATCCACGATTCACTGCTGATTTCTGGCGTTCCGTGTTCAAATCGCTCGGAACGCGCTTGAAGATGTCGACATCTGATCATCCAGAGACATATGGTCAGACGGAACGTGCCAATCGTGTCCTTGAAGAGATACTTCGAGGATACGTACACTCCTTTAAGAGTTGGAGTGAGTTTTTGACAATGGTAGAGTTTGCCATTAACAACTCGGTGCATGCGTCCACGACACATACACCGTTTTACGTGAATGGCTTGCGCCATCCGTGTGTACCCACCTTACTAGAGTGTAACTCTGGTTTAAGGGGGGGAGGGAATCGCGCGAGCAAAAACCGATTTGGCTCACGCTCATCACGCTCTGACGAAGAGGTCATTGCGTTTGATGACGATATTGATAACATCGATATCGAAGAAGATGATGCCAGTGAGAGTGCGGAAGCCCTCACTGAAGAAGATGATGCCAGTGAGAGTGCGGAAGCCCTCACTGAAGAAAAGGTTGATGTTGCTGCAGTGCGCTCACAGCGCACTGAAGCTAACGAGTCATCAGATGAGTTCATACTGGCTCGTGAAAGGTAGTCCGTTTTGTGCAAGACTCCATCGCCGAAGCGGTGGATAAGCAAAAGCAAAACGCTGACAAGAATGGAAGGGCAAACACTCTTTTATTTAATAAAGGTGACTTAGTCCTACTGTCTACGGTTAATCTACCAAAGCATGTAGTGACTAACTTGGGTAGCAGTAAACTACTACCCAAGTACATCGGCCCATTTCGTGTATTGTACCGCCTAGGCGATGCATACACGATCGAGTTACCACGTAAGATGCGAACGCATCCCACGTTTTACGTTGGTCGGCTTAAGCCGTACCATCAGTACGCTGCTTCTTCCGATGAAGAACGCCCTTGCGCTCAAGCATCTTGCAGAGAGCCTTGTGCTCCCGATGGCGGGCATCAAAAAGGGTCTGAATAGCAGCTATCTCATCCCGAGACCGATCAACAATCCCACGAGCTACCCTTAGCTCGTCACGAAGAGATGTCAGAGATCTCTCGTTCTCAAGCTGAGCAAAGGCAAACTCAGCTCGATGCTTCGAGACAGTGTCCGCCATTTGGAGACGCCTGTCCCGCTCATGTTCGAGATCGTTGCGTAACCCTTGCGTTACGCGATCAAAGAAGCTCTCGGGAACACACGGATCCCCATGATCGTGTGGAGAGCGTCTTCCCTTCTCCTCCACCTCCATTAGAGGACTCTCGCGGTGGCCAGCGCTATCTAGTTGAGCAGCTGTTGAACCACCGCGACGTGAACGGACGTCGGACGAGTTATCTCGTCCGGTGGCGCGGCTATCCCCCGTCCTGGGATTCTTGGGAGCCCCGCTCCCAACTAATGATTGACGTATTGGGTCTGGTTGAGCAGTACGACGCGGCACATCCTGTGCCGCAGAAGGACCGCCGGAGAAAGTCTTCCCGGCACGGTCGTAAAGGGATTTCAGGTTGTCAATCCCTTCGTACATCTCAATAGAGATACGTACGCGCCACCACGGGCTATTAGGGAGGTAAGCCTCCTTAGGTGCTCGTGCAGAGTTGTTCACACAACATGTGCACGAGTCTCCCCAAGAGAGGCAGGGTAATACTTTCTCCCTTGACAGACGATGCAGCTTGTAGCGTGCACCTGTCGGGGTTCGCTTTTCAAACTTATCACGAGCTTTGATAAGTTTGTCGTTCCAAGCGTCACGACCTACATCCTCGAGGTTATGGATGTAGGCGTTCCACGCCTGAAGTAGTGAGAGACCATCACTTTTGTGATTCCCACTGTACCATCGATGTCTAAAGAAAGCATCGATGAAGAATTCATTCTCAGCGCGATAGTTTTTCGCGATGGTGTCAAGGTGATGGATCCTTGACGAATCGAACAACCGTGTTCGATAACGATCACTCGTCGTCGCCGACAAGTGATCCATGACGGATTTAGGAGGCATCCATGCCTTCTTCTCAGGAGCGAGACGCAACACACTGCGATCCCGCTCTTCCTGCGATGTGCCGACAGAAGTACTGGCACCTCGTTGCGAAGTGGTGTCCATAGGAGAACCGACACCACTATTAGCACCCGAGTCTCGCGAACTCGAGCGCCTTCGCTTCGGCGATGGTTCATCTGATTCATCAGATGAACCAAAGATGCTGCGACGCAAAGCATCGTCCATTCCACGCTTGGCAGGCGGATTGGATTCAACCGCCGTCGATACGGATCCGTCATCCGTATCAGGAGAGTATGAGACACCGAGCTCGTACTCTGTGAAGACATGAGTGTCTTCATGACCAGCGCCTGCATCACCAAGTGACACAGGCTGGGTCGCTTCAGCAACCGATGAGACATCAGTCGCTGTGTTTCTCCTTCGGCGTCTGCACAGAGACGTGCGGACGCGCTCTCGGCGGCCTTGCTCGCGCATCGCATGGACTTGTTAACCATGCGATGAGATGTTGGAAAGTGGACTCGGACCAACAAGTGCAAACCCTGTCCCAAATGATTTGGGACGAGTATCCATTTAGTCAATCAGTCACTAAAGAGACTGATGGTTAAGGGGGGGTGATGTAACGGGGTAAATCGTTACATAACAATTTATTAGAAATTGTTAATAGAATATAACTATAAGAGTTATATTCTCAGAATATTGTCATAAGGACAAGTATTCTGTAGCACTTACGAGTAGTTCCTAATTGGTTGATATAGGCCATTATATCAACCAACGAAGACGCGCCACGACAGACGCACGCAATGAGTGGTGAGCAGATAGTTGATTTACACATTTGTATTTAGACATAGTTAGATGAGGATAAATAGTGATTTATTGCAGACATTAACTGTTATAAATACAGTTCTACTTTTTACTCTAACCAAGTACTCGCTTCTTCTTACCGTCTTCCTCTACACGTACAAGTGGACGTGAAGTTACGAGGCACCGCCTTATTCTGTCATCAGAATAAGTAGCTTGTGCTGTCACCAGTACAAGCTTCAGGGTGCCCCGTGACACCGAAGGCTTGTGTTCAGGGGATAGACGCAGCACATTGCCTACTAGAGCCTCCTGCGTGTTACCAACGAAAGTCTTGGTACCACTAGATTCGTTATCACGACGGTCCAAATCATCACCGCATTTGCTAGAAGGCGAATATGCAGTAGCAGGCGCGTGAAAGAGTCAGTATGCTCATCCTTTAAACTAGTCAGATTCAAGTAGTGACCATGAGTCTTACTACCCGCTCAAGTCTTATTCGTAGACTTGTTATCGGCCTCTCTATAGACTTGGGTGACCAAAGTGTCTCTTCGAGCTGGACCCACCGTCCGACCTCCCTTACATAAATAAGATCCACTTAGGAGCCATCATCACTAGCACGTGGTGACTCACCACGTGCCTCTGCACCAACTGGTGCTGCAGGAAGAGTTAAAGCTGCGGAAGACAAAGCATCTTCTGCCGCGAGAGGCTGGGCATCGTCAAGAGCAGTTGCGTTTACACTCACAGCTGCCTTCACGACAGCTTTTCGCCGCGTATCGCATGGAGTTGCTCACCATGCAATGGAGATTAAAAAAATGAATGGATCGGACCAAGCAAGTGTCATTTGTCCCTGATGTGATCTAACAATGACAACATCAACATGATAGTGATTAAGTGACTATCGTTTTAGGGGGGGGTGATGTAACGGGGTGAGCCTGTTCATGCAACTAACCTTGATACTTGTTTATTACATCATTATCATAAAAGTCGATAATGTTCGCGAACATTACCACAACGGGTAATATTCCGAAGCACTCACCCATTGGCTAAAATGAGTCTTCATACAATCCAGCTCTAGCGGTCCAATCAACGATGGACGAGCGCAATGAGTGGTGATCAAGACATTAGCATACACTTTTGTAGATGAAAATGATTAAATTAGGTCAAAACACAGGAACATATATTCAGGGCTTAATGATAATTAATGCGGTTTTATTTTGACCATCAATTAGTCAGTTACTAAATGCTTTTTCTTCATCTTCGTAGTTTATAGAGATAGCAAGACACCACTCACACTGCTTTAAGTGATAGTAGCTCAATATGGTTGTCCAATGTGTTGCTCGGGTGCCCCGTTGCACGAGTCGTCGATGTGTAGGCTAGTAAAGCTAACGCGACATCAATGTAGCTTGCTTTCAAAATCTATGCTGAACTCTATTCCCATCTAACTTCTGTCCACCACCACCCGTGGCGAAAACATTGAGCCATAGCACAACGTAGTCGGTCATGAGTCATCCGGTCGATGCAGTTTGCCGGGTCTTCTTAATCCTTGCATGTATGGACGATAATGAAGCTTTATTTCCTACATGCATTCGACTCTGTACTTGAAAATCCGACAACGACAGGGGTGAGCGCACTGGTGGAGTCAACCTGCATCATGAGCCAGATGGACATGTCCCAAGCATTACGGAACATCGTCCGCACGTTTGGCTTTGACACAGACTAATCGTCGCATGTTTTCCTTCGGATCACGGCGTTCATCCACGTGGGTCGTAATTGTTGTGGATTTCGTTTGAACACACCTGATCTGGTGGTGATAGTATCGAGGTGACCGTGTTGAAACGTGAAAGCACCTTCGAGCCATACACAAGCATGCGGAAGATCATGCGGTACTCATGCGTGACCAAAAGCAGACTTTGCATTCGCGGATAAGCAGGACTTGATGCGTAGATAGACTTCCTGGCATACTCTGGTGCTTGCCTAAGACTCAATCTAGAAGATGAGTTTGCCGCTCGTAATGCTGGTAATGCGGTTTCCACTGACAGACACGATGCCGATATCCTTGCATTTAGTATTGCGAATTGATACATGCGTATCATTCCGACCGACGAGCAAGGCGCTCATTGTTTTGGTCCACTCTTTCAGCAGTGAACGCCGTTGTTGGCAGATCAAGCCGGGCTTGCTGAAGCCATGTCTCTTTCTTGGCGTCAACCAAACGTTTCCGACAAACAAAACACTGCGAACGACATGAGGACATACATTCAAAGACAAGTGTGGATTCTGCATCTACATGGAGCAGAATGAAGTCACAACGAACGTCATCTATCTGTCTGTTGTGCTGAATAGCACTCATGTGTCACCGCAGCAGTTGGACGCACTTCAAGGTCCGATCTCGTAAGCTCTCTACCCCAGCGGGTAAATCGCGTCTTCTAAGATGAACTGTCTATTGTGTAATGTGCCTAAAGACGCCGGATACTCGGGATTCATGATGCTTCGAAGGGATCCGTGATGTTTAAAAGGAATCTAAGAAGCCTTAAAGGGATTGAATTCCTTCATGAAACTGTTGTACTTTATCATGGACTACATGAGCGTTCCGCTCCCAAGAACGATACTTCTGCGTTCAACAAAGCCACTGCTTTCGACTTTCGTCACGATTCTATGGTCTAAATCAAATCTGCGCCGCGTCCGTTGTTTTCTGTCTCTACTTTTGCTTACGTCCAGTATGTGACGTTTATTTCCGTTATCAGATGAAAAGAAGCTTTGAAGCGTAAGAATGGGGACCAAGCTCTGGTGCTTGCTCTACGATAGAAGTAGTTCATTTGATAAAACTACACCAAGGCCTGTATGCTTACTTTCCATTCGGGTGTGTAGCGGCTCGGAAATTGGGTGTGTTTCGTGTGCTTCAAATGAAAGTGCTGATAGACCGTTGTGTGTTGTAGGCATCGTCGATTAGTTGTACATTGGTTTTTAGAGACAAAAGTGAGAGAAGGGAGATGGAGGTTGGTTCTGCTCGGTCACGCCGTCAACAACAAATTGCGGCTGACGATGTATGATTAATCACATATAACGAGAAATAAAACTGAGGGACTTCCCACCTGCCGCCGGTAGACCTGTTGTTTGCTGCTTGAGACTTGGATGGTAAATTGAGAACTAAATGTATTGCAGCCTTTGATCCTAGTTATCTCTGTGTCCGTTACTTTCAGTTTCTTCTGCGTAGGTTTCGTGTCATTACTCGTCCGTTACGATAGTCGCTTACCTTTATCACTAGTCGCGCCCTTTCACATCATGGGTCGCGTTCCTTCAACATCACGAGTCGTTCTACTTCAACAAGACCACACATTCTTACCTCTATTTCTCATTGGTTTACAGATGATAACACGTCACAGTCATTGTTCTCTGGAGGTGCGAGGCTTTCGGTGCCTTAAGGTGGGGAGCGCTAGGGTATCATTCCTCGGTCCACCACTGATCTATTCAAGCCAATCACGTGCCGGCATTGGTGCGGGTGTGAATATTAGACACTTCGCAGTCGCAAAGAGTGACATTAGTGAAGAGGAAACAGGCTAGATCGCATTCAGTGCAAAGCGTAAGGTACCAAGTTTTATCTACACACACAGACACACACATAAGTACGATTTGAAAGGTCGGTATTCACCTTGTGTCCAGTCATTAACAGCTGCACCCTCAGAGCTCGCAATAAAGACATCGCTCATCACAAAAACGACCTTGCACGTATTTTTACGTCATAAACGTCCCAAGGATAGGAGCACTTTGGAGAAACGTTAAGGGTCAAAGCTACGATAACAGAGGGAGACATCAGATACGCAATAGAAGCCGCGAGACGTGTTTTCGGCGTGTGCAACACGTCGCTCTTCTGTTGCTCGAAATTGAAGCGGCTAAGGATATGATCATTTATCTGCAAGGATAAGCGACCCGCATGGAATTCCGTCATTGACTCAGAGTCGTCGACCGCTAGCATCACACTTTGTGCTGTTGGATGAAAAGTCGTGTACGCCGCGGATAGAGTGGAACTGACTCACAATGTACGGAACATCTTGCACAAATTGACGTGCTTGCTTGTAAGGTAGTTATATAGTGATATGCGCAAAGTAAAGGCTCTATCACAGCTGGACCTGCTTGCATTGACATTTAGACACGCTGGCAGTGAGAGCTGAATCTTTGGCCCGCACCTCTACACAACGATACTGCTTTAGGCGCGACAACACACGTCACAATATCAACGATTCCAGCTTGCTACGCTAATCAGTCCTCTATCGAGTCAAGACAACAGCGTCATCCACTTGTTCGATCCACGAACATCTGCGCTAGTTTTTACTAGTCTATCCCCGCAGCACCACCGGAGTCGCTGTATTATAATCGCTAAGACTAGTACCTCGTGGCGTGGCTAGAACTCGTACATCCAATCCTCGACCCTCAAAATGATCTTGTCGATCGTAAATGAAAAGATACCGCTATTCAAGTATCAACTGTCTGCATCGACATGTCTGACCTAAGCACGCGTAGACCGTCGTAGTATCTGCTTGATAGAGAGCGTAAAGTGCGTCACGTGTAAAACTCGTGCTCTCTACTCGTTGCAGCTGCAGCTTCAACTGCTGCAACGATATATAATTAATAGACAAGCAAGACGTTGAATTTGGGATTACGTCTGTTACATGCAAACAGTTTGGTCGACGACGTATACACCATCAGCTCATAAGGTCTGTTGCTTCCTGTCTGAATAGCGACAACACCAAGACGTACGACAACAACTGACCAGACTCAAGACTAGAATGAAAGATGCTACACTGGACGTCAGTATCCCCTCGTTTCACTCTTTATATATCTTTCTCCAGAGATAACGATATATTCGTGTAAGCCAGCCAGGCTTCTGCTCTTCCGTTCGCTTGCTATTTCCCCAGGACCTGGTTTCACCAGGACTGACGTCATTTTCGACACGCAGGTGCCTGCCATTGCCTCCTTCCTGTAGCGATAAAGGCAGAGCGTACCCAGCTGAGGCCACCAGAAGCGGTAGATCGTTACTTTCACTTATCAGGAATCGGTCGATTCTGCTGTCGACAAGAGGCTCGTGCTTGGCCTCGACAATCGTCTGCAGCGATGGAGACTCTGCCGAATCAGGGGCACCTTGAAGACCATGAGTACTTGAAGCCATTGCTGCAGCTGCCACGAGTGCCACGTGCTGGACTCGCATCACTGAATGATGGTCAGCGTGCGTTCCCTGAACCGACTGAATTACTTGTGTGATCAGCGACCAGCTACTACGTTATCAAATGCAGCTGGAAAAAGTCGTTTGTGTAGTTGAGATACGGAGAAGCTACGGGCTGTAGAAAAGACGGTACGTAAGCTTGACCAGCTTTCGGGCCAGCTTTGTGGAGCGACAAATGGGCAGAATCGGCACGTCTCGGTCGTAGAATACATGCGAGATTGAATCTCGGCAGATTTTACAGATTTGCTCTACCATAGGAATATCGAGACACATCTGGAGTTTTATTCACAAAAAAAGAAAATGAATCGAAAAACTCAGGCTGACCGGGTGGCATTACAGCAGCGTCGGGACAATGTAGATTAGTTCCGAACTTGTCGGCTCAGTTAAATTGAAAACCATCTGTAGACGTGCACAACAGCATGTGTTAATTAGTAGCTGGACGATTGCTTGCCAGATGGTCTCGCGGATCTGCGACTCAGGCCGAAACCTGATCTGAAGCTATATGTACAGTGGGAAGGTGGCGCTTGCGATCTCTGGGTAAGAGAGCAAACGTTCGATTTAGCTGGACGAACGGCAGTACCATGACGTGGCAAGCTTAAAGTTCTGTCCATGACAAGCATACAGCATGACATCTACATGACATGATGTTGCCATCATTCGCAGGACATGGGGCACTGACGTCCTGGAACTGCAGTTTCAGTCCGTTATTTTCGGTCCTTTTATTTGATGGGGAGACAGTGATCCGATAGTGCCCCATCAAACAGAACCGTGCTGTCGTTGTCACAAAGACAGGGGCATTCTATCGGGATGCTTTCATCTGTCCTTGGTGAAGTGGTAAGGCGAGATACCTTTCACCTATTTTCAATCGTTGCGCATGAAAACAAAACCTCGCAAACAGAGCCAAACGTGAGCGGCGGCTGCGCGCAAATGACGCCTTCCAAGTAGTGTCAAAGCATTGAATTGCCATCGCAATGGAAAAGCACTACACATGAATGTAAGCCGGGGATCAAAAGTATACAGGAGAGGAGTCGTACGAAGAAGGTGCTCGTCCATCATCTTCTGATCCGACTCTTCTAAGCTTCTCCGTCCCCGCATCGAATTTACATGCCAGGGACAAGACGTAGGAGGAACTAGTGCCACGCTCTCTCTACGTTCTAGAATTTTGATGGAGTCGAACCGTTTTCGATTCCTCTTTACTACATTAAAAATGATCTACTACTTCAATGGTGACGCAGTAGCTGTTCTTCGACTCGCGACGTGGGCGACGCAAAGCGCGACTTTCTCACATCCCCAAACACAACCTTGTGATGGAACGGTGTAGAGAATCGCTCTACTCGTGTCACCATCGCGAGTCTCGTCGTAATGAGTGTATGAGCTGTCCTATGCACTACGAATTTTCACCCAGTACATCGTTGGCTACGCTTATCGTATTTACGGATTGACGCTGTCTGATGTTCGCCCCCTATCTGAAGTGCAAACAACGTGCGCTCTCCGTTAGTCCGTGTGGATCTCTGTGAGTGACTGACTGACAGACAGGTAAAAGTAGTGATGGCGTCATGTCAGAAATGGCCCGCAGTATCACATCTGCTTCTCATGTCTAAGGGCCCATCTCCTGCTTGATGGTTGAAAAAGAAAAAGCGAAGTTGACAACCAGCGGTCAGTAGCCACCCACAACGCTATATCAAGTGCTCCCGTCTTCGATCTTACGTCTGTTCCCTGTACTCTGATGACGTGCTTACGCAACAATTAATTCACGTCGGCTTCAGTCTTAAGCTCCATCCTATACCTTTCTGGTGCCTCGTTAGTGGCACAAACCTGCGTTTCAAGTAAACTATGGAAAATACAAGCTCATTCCTGCGCGGAACTCACGGTTACATCAGGTAAACACCCACGCGTCCAGCCCGTAACTAGGAAGTAGCACCTAATTATGTATACGTATGGGTGCGACAATGTCCACTCATTCGTACGCTGTGTAATCGTACGCGTTTAAAAAGCGTCGATTCAGACATTTACCTCAAACGTCCTGCGAGAAGTATGTGCTACTCGAATGTCGTTCCCTACGATACAATCCATGTATTCGCGCAACGTACGTCACGTATACTGGAACATGCTGTCCAATCAGCCCATCTGATGCCGTAGCCGGTAGCACCCACACCATTGCCGAATCGAGTCAGATAAAGGCTCGAGCGTATCAATCGACATAGACAGCAGCGCCTATGACTTGTTCTTGTCAAACATGACGCTCTGCCCGTCTAGAATAGATGTCAGCTACTGGCTTCACATGCCTCAGCCGAGCCTTGGTCCACGCACGATGAGGTGCTGACTCATCTCGATCAATTTGCGGACACATGCGCGGCTGTGCGAGTCAAAGTAATCATCCGAGACAAGGAACTCAATCTGCGTTAACCTGACTTGATTGCGTTGCTGACAGGTGATGATGTTAGTTTTGTCGTCTCACATTGAAAGAGATCACCTCGCGCATGTCGATGCATGCGTACCGCCTACAAAAGTCGCACTCTAGCTTAGCGTGAGAAGCATACCTTCCATCAGAAGCCGGAGCTGCTCGCCCAAACATAAAACCCCATCACTAGTGAGAGCTATTCACGACTTAGGACACATCCGGCTCCGTGAATCTGCTCCACATGAGACGAGCATTGCGATCTTTTTCGAAAAAGCCCACAGTCGGTGGTGATTAACTCCAGTTAAAAAAAACTACTTAATTCCGTCACACCTCCTGCATCTCAAAGCTCTTCGTTTCGGGCTCCTTCCGACATTGTGACGAAGCGTGGGCGTCTGCAGACAATCTTGTAAAAGCCAGACGCCGAAGAATGTCCACTTTCACAAAGAGTCATGTCATGGCAGTTCGTGGTACTTAAGACCTCCATGACTTCCAACCTCGTGCCAAATCAGCCGCAATAGCGCCCAGCATCTTGTTTGATACAAAGTAGCCATGAGCATTCGTCAACACCTAAGTTTACACTGATAACGCTGACACTACACCAAGCTGCACCTCGTCCACTAACTCTTCAAAGCTGCTGACGAACATCAAAGTAGCGTCTGTATGCCGATTACAACCGATCAGCAACTAAGTACTCATTGATGTGCATTTATTACTTATCGTGTCAATTCTCTGCCATCACTACATGCTGTCTCGACAATCGCTAAAACTCCGCTCTATATGACCGGCACCAAGCAACAGGTTGTCGCATTTGACTGTGTTGATACATGATGCCAAGTACTTCTAAACGCAGCTAGCAAGACACTGTTTGTCTGCGCCTCTCTACAGACAGCACGTTCCTTGTGACAAGTTATGGACGATAAAAAGAAGGTACTTGACATCCTCACGGCTCGCCACAAAACTCTAACAGAATGTGCTTAAACGAGTGACCAATGTCGGCTACAACAGAGGCTCCTTAGCAACAGGATGATCGTCGAAACAAGAATGAACAAAACGTGTTTCATTGTTATGAAAAAGACAAGCAGACGAACAGTTTTAACTACGTCGAGCACCCCAACGTCAACGATAACAATCTCTTGACCTTCCTCCATTGGTCAGCAAAGTACGCGGCCCTACCCTTCAATTGTGGACTCAGTAAGATCGTTCGATGACCCGGCCGTCGGTGCTTCCGTCTGGTCGGAGCTGTTGATCTCCTCTTCGTCGTGGTTCTTGTGCGATCTTTTATAAAAGCCGTAAAGCGACTTACTCTTTTTCTTTCCCTTCCTCTTGAACCTTGACATCTTGCTCCTCGCCTTTCTCTCTTCATCGATAAAGTCGAGGTAGCTGTCGCAGTCGCGCAAGTGCCTGCCGTTGTCACCTTCCTGCAGCGACCGTGATGCATATCCAGTTGAGGTGTCTAGAAGCGGTAGCTCCTTGTCTTCGCCGGTCAGGAATCGTTCGGTCTTGCCTTCGATATTGGGCTGCTGCCTGTCCTCGAAGTTGCGCTGCAGTGGCAAAGCCGAGTCGGACACGACTTGAAGTCCATGGGCACGTGCATCTAGTGCAGCAGCTGCCAAGAGGGCCAAGTATTGAATACGCATTGTGAATCAGTACGGGTTCTGGATCAAGTGTAGATTCGGGCTTGTAGGTGGTCAGCTAATTCAATTATGAGAGCAAGTAAAGGAGTGGCGGATGTTTAAAGCTCTCGAGGATGTTGTGCCGACAGCCATGGATTTTTTGGCTCAGCTGGAGATGATACATTGCTTGACGTGATATCCACTGTCGGACCAGTCTCCGTGAAGTGACAAATTGACAGACACCGATGCGCTTAGGTCGTAAAACGTGCGATACCAAAGCTCGGTGAAGTTGCAGACAAGTTCCGCTCTCGTCGGACCAGATACATCTGATACACATCCAGATACGAAAGAGTTGCCGCCTAAAGATTCATGAATAGTGATGTTACAGCGTAGCAGACTGGCATGACGAGATTGGGTAAAAGTCCGTGCTATATGATTTTTAATTTTACCAGCATATAAAACAGGATCTCGTAATCAAGCGAACTTTTCACCGCTACTAATCGATCAGCAATCGAACTTTTATCGAAAGGAACTGATAACAAGCCTTAACTTTCCATCGATGCGCCTACAGTTACAAATATACATTCTGAACGATTGGATTGGGAGGTATCAGATGAAAGGACGAGCTTGTCTCCAATCTTTTGTGCCCCCACCCTCTTTGATGCGTCTGATTGGTACAACATACCCCTGAGCAGCGGTATGTCGGTTAACGGTTTCGTATTGGTAATATTGCTGGCTATTACGGATAAACCTGCCATATTTGATATGACCCGTAGACCGCAAGTGTATCATATATGGCAATAGCATCAAATCTTAGAGGTGCAAACATCCTCTAATCATTAGCATCCCTCAAAAACAGTAAAAAGTTCCCGGATTCCATGTTCAGCACCTAATCTTAGTACAAGTCAAGCGACGCGTCAATCAACTTTTTGCGCAACAAATTGTTATCCATACAATGTGCATATGCATTAGATTGTAGATATAAATGCCTGGATTTTAGTTTGTGCGAGTGTGTGTAACAATCGTGTGCACAACTTAATGAAAGAGTTGTGTGTGACACATTTCGTGTACGCTTGTAGCCCAACTGGGTTGGTGTGGCAGCATCATCCGAGTAATCACCGTTTCGGGAACCGGTACGAGCAAAAATACTAAGTTAAGCATTCAGTTCTGGTGTATAAGGTTCATCAGCACTGCCTGCCAGCAGTGACGCCCCCTGCTTTTGGAATGATGGCACCATCAGAGAAATAGGTAAGGATTCTCTGCTCCAACCATTAGCAGATCAAAATGAGTGGACAGCAAAGCCAAAGCACTTACACTTATAAAAATGATGCACATATTAATTTAACCGGTTTTACTTTGCTAATTCGCCTTTAACACGACGATGCCGTCGCGACCCAAACAGGTTGGTAACCTGGCGTATGTGCAGAAGACGAAGATCTGCCAGTGGCATGACAAAAATACCACGCTAACGCAGCCGTAGCTGTCAGGTCAAGCGAAGCGCGAGTTCGGTCTCTTCTGGATGTGTAACGAGGCACCCTGAAGCTTGTACTGGTGACAGCACAAGCTACTTATTCTGATGACAGAATAAGGCGGTGCCTCGTAACTTCACGTACACTCGTACGTGCAGAGGAAGACGGTAAGAAGAAGCGAGTACTTGGTTAAAGTAAAAAGTAGAACTGTATTTATCATAGTTAATGTCTGCAATAAATCACTATTTATCTTCATCTAACTATGTCTAAATACAAATGTGTAAATCAATTATCTGCTCACCACTCATTTCGTGCGTCTGTCGTGGCGCGTCTTCGTTGGTTGATATAATGGCCTATATCAACCAATTAGGAACTACTCGTAAGTGCTACAGAATATTTGTCCTTATGACAATATTCTGAGAATATAACTCTTATAGTTATATTCTATTAACAATTTCTTATAAATTGTTATGTAACGATTCACCCCGTTACATCACCCCCCCCTTAACCATCAGTCACTTTAGTGACTGATTGACTAAATGGATACTCGTCCCAAATCATTTGGGACAGGGTTTGCACTTGTTGGTCCGAGTCCACTTTCCAACATCTCATCGCATGGTTAACAAGCCCATGCGATGCGCGAGCAAGGCCGCCGAGAGCGCGTCTGAACGTCTCTGTGCGGACGCCGAAGCAGAAACAACAGCAACTGATGTCTCATCGGTTGCTGAAGCGACCCAGCCTGTGTCACTTGGTGATGCAGGCGCTGGTCATGAAGACACTCGTGTCTTCACAGAGTACGAGCTCGGTGTCTCATACTCTCCTGATACGGATGACGGATCCGTATCGACGGCGGTTGAATCCAAGCCGCCTGCCAAGCGTGGAATGGACGATGCTTTGCGTCGCAGCATCTTTGGTTCATCTGATGAATCAGATGAACCATCGCCGAAGCGAAGGCGCTCGAGTTCGCGAGACTCGGGCGCTAATAGTGGTGTCGGTTCTCCTATGGACACCACTTCACAGCGAGGTGACAGTACTTCTGTCGGCACGTCGCAGGAAGAGCGGGACCGCAATGTCTTGCGTCTCGCTCCTGAGAAGAAGGCATGGATGCCTCCAAAATCCGTCATGGATCACTTGTCGGCGACGACGAGTGATCGTTATCGAACACGGATTGTTCGATTCGTCAAGGATCCATCACTTTGACCCCAGCGCGAAAAACTATCGCGCTGAACATGAATTCTTCATCGATGCTTTCTTTAGACATCGATGGTACAGTGGGAATCACAAAAGTGATGGTCCCTCACTACTTCAGGCGTGGAACGCCTACATCCATAACCTCGAGGATGTAGGTCGTGACGTTTGGAACGACAAACTCATCAAAGCTCGTGATAAGTTTGAAAAGCGAACCCCGACAGGTGCACGCTACAAGCTGCATCGTCTGTCAAGGGAGAAAGTATTACCCTGCCTCTCTTGGGGAGACTCGTGCCCATGTTGTGTGAACAACTCTGCACGAGCACCTAAGGAGGCTTACCTCCCTAATAGCCCGTGGTGGCGCGTACGTATCTCTATTGAGATGTACGAAGGGATTGACAACCTGAAATCCCTTTACGACCGTGCCGGGAAGACTTTCTCCGGCGGTCCTTCTGCGGCACAGGATGTGCCGCGTCGTACTGCTCAACCAGAACCAATACGTCGATCATCAGTTGGGAGCGGGGCTCCCAAGAATCCCAGGACGGGGGATAGCCGCGCCACCGGACGAGATAACTCGTCCGACGTCCGTTCACGTCGCGGTGGTTCAACAGCTGCTCAACTAGATAGCGCTGGCCACCGCGAGAGTCCTCTAATGGAGGTGGAGGAGGAGGAAAGACGCTCTCCACACGATCATGGGGATCCGTGTGTTCCCGAGAGCTTCTTTGATCGCGTAACGCAAGGGTTACGCGACGATCTCGAACATGAGCGGAATAGGCGTCTCCAAATGGCGGACACTGCCTCGAAGCATCGAGCTGAGTTTGCCTTTGCTCAGCTTGAGAACGAGAGATCTCTGACATCTCTTCGTGACGAGCTAAGGGTAGCTCGTGGGATTGTTGATCGGTCTCGGGATGAGATAGCTGCTCTTCAGACCCTTGTTGATGCCCACCATCGGGAGCACAAGGCTCTCTGCGAGATGCTTGAGCGCAAGGGCGTTCTTCATCGGAAGAAGCAGCGTACTGATGGTACGGCTTAAGCCGACCAACGTAAAACGTGGGATGCGTTCGCATCTTACGTGGCAACTCGATCGTGTATGCATTGCCTAGGCGGTGCAATACACGTAATGGGCCGATGCACTTGGGTAGAAGTTTACTAATACCCAAGTTAGTCACTACATGCTTTGGTCGATTAACCGTAGACAGTAGGACTAAGTCACCTTTATTAAATAAAAGAGTGTTTGCCCTTCCATTCTTGTCAGCGTTTTGCTTTTGTTTATCCACCGCTTCGGCGATGGAGTCTTGCACAAAACGGACTACCTTTCACGAGCCAGTATGAACTCATCTGGTGACTCGTTAGCTTCAGTGTGCTGTGAGCGCACTGCAGCAACATCAACCTTCTCTTCAGTGAGGGCTTCCGCACTCTCACTGGCATCATCTTCTTCGATATCGATGTTATCGATATCGGCATCAAACGCAATGACTTCTTCGTCAGAGCGTGATGAGCGTGAACCAAATCTGTTTTTGCTCGCGCGAGTCCCTCCCCCCTTAAACCAGAGTTACACTCTAGTAAGGTGGGTACACGCGGATGGCGCAAGCCATTCACGTAAAACGGTGTATGTGTCGTGGACGCATGCACCGAGTTGTTGATGGCAAACTCTACCATTGGCAAAAAATCACTCCAACTCTTAAAGGAGTGTACGTATCCTCGAAGTATATCTTCAAGGACACGATTGGCACGTTCCGTCTGACCATCTGACTCTGGATGATCAGATGTTGACATCTTCAAGCGCGTTCCGAGTGATTTGAACGCGGAACGCCAGAAATCAGCAGTGAATCGTGGATCTCTGTCTGATACGAGTTCACGGGGCAACCCATGAAGTCGGAAGATGGTGTCAATAAAGACACAAGCACAGCCACTTGCCGTGATTGTATCTGGTACAGCCACAAGGTGTACCATTTTGCTAAATCTGTCAACAAATACGAGAATACCCGTATTCCCGCGTGCGTCTTTGGGTAACCCGAAGACGAAATCCATTGAGATGGATTCCCAGCACTCAGCCGGAACCGGTAGAGGCTGTAATGGTGCACGCAGTGAAGGACTTGACTTCACTCGTTGGCAGACTTCACAGGCGCGAACATACTTTCGCACAAACTGATACTGGCGGGGCCAGTAAAAGTCTCGACTAACCGTGAGATATGTTTTCTCTCGGCCACGATGTCCTCCTATAGGAGCATCGTGATACTCGAACATGATCCGCAAACGCAGATCAGTATCATCTGGAATGACAACACGTGGTGTGTCACCAGAAACGGCTGTATAATACAGTAAACCGTTGCGAGTAGCGATCTGATGCAGATCGATACGCAGGCGACAATCGTTTCAACGATTCTCGAGATGGTTGTGAGAGATGTGTCAACAACTTCACATCTCACCATCTTGGGCGTATGCCAGCCTCACATCATCATACAACGTTGTAGATGGGACTGAGGACGTTATAACCGCAACAATGACTGTCTCACTGTTGGGTTTCACGACTGGTTTAAAGTCGGGACGACGTGAGAGTGCATCAGCGACGAAATTAATTCGTCCTGGTTTGTACTCGACCGTAAAGTTGTATTCTGCAAAGAATGACAACCACCGCGCCATTCGTTGTGAAAGGTGCGGGCTGTTCACTGCCGTGCGTAACGACGCATGGTCAGTGTAAACAATGAAGGGTCTATCCCCTAATAGATAGACTCTGAACTTCGCGAGTGCATACTTCATGGCAAGGAGTTCCTTGTCATGCACTGGATAGTTCCGCTCAGCTGGTTGCAGCTGACGCGACTGATATCAGACGACACGTTCAACGCCTTCTAGGTCGTACTGCATTAATGCACAGCCGATTGCGAAATCGCTGGCATCACAGACCACATGAAATGGCCTGTCCTGATCGGCTATTGCTAGGACTGGGAATTGTATCAAGCTCTGCTTGATACCCTCAAAGAAACGTTGACATTCAGCGTTCCATAACCACCTCTCGTTCTTTTTCAACAAACGAGAGAGGTGTACAGTCATCTCGGCGTAATTGCGTGAATACTTATGCAAATACACCGCTAGCCCAAGGAATTTTCGAAGACCTTTGACATCAACCGGCACAGGCCAGTCGGTGATCGCCTTGATCTTTTCTGGATCAGGACGTACACCGTTCTTACCGACGATGCACCCAATAAGTGGTACCTAGCTTGCTGCAAATATACACTTCTTGAGGTTTGCATACAATTGATGCTTTCGCATGATTGTAAGAACCTGTCGGACGTGGTACCTGTGAACCTCAACGTCCGACTTTCCATCCATAGCTCGACTATGGATGAATCCGTCATCGAAATAACTCGGCGCGAATTCTCGTACTGGTCTCAACAGATGTGATACACATCTGTTGAACGTGGCAGGGGCATTACTAAGCCCTTGTGGCATAACTAGCCATTCCCAGAGCATGCCGCTAGGCGTGCTAACTGCGGTATAGGGTATATCCCGTTCCCGCATAAGGATTTGATAGAAGCCATCCATCAAATCCATGGACGAAAAGATGGTACTCTTTGACATACCATCAATGATTACGTCCTTCCTCGGTATCGGCGTCTGAGCCGGTACCGTTGCAGCGTTCAATTTGTTGAACGCGCGCACTATCCACCACCCTCCTGTTGCTTTTCGCACACAGAAGGTCGGAGAGCTATGTGGGGAAGTTGATTCCCTCACATGGCCCGCAGCTAAACAATCGGCAAAGAACTTGTCGATCGCAAGTACTTGTTCACGAGGCAGTGGCCACTGCTTCATGACACAGTACTTCGAGCCTGGTTTAAGCTCGACCTCGTGTCGAATACCTTTATCCTTCGGTAATTCGCACGGAACAGTTTCAGGGAATACATCCTTGAATTCAACCAAATCTTCATAGAGAGGATTTGTCTTGAGCGATTCCTACGATTGGGAGTCATATCGCTCAATTCGTGTCTTTTCATCTAAGACACTCTTGTCCATAGATGAACTACTGAGAGCTCTCTCGTTCTCAGTAAACACTGTTGCTGACCTTATGTCGGTTATACACTCGTCGTCAGCGACGAGTATGCAGATCTGCTTGACTTTGCCACTACGCAGATCACGCAAGAACCTTTTGTGGTCGAGCGTTGGCAACTGAGTGATCTCCGAAGTTAACTTCGGAGGCGCAATCAGATCAAGTGTATAAGCGCCTACACTTGATCCGTTATTGACTATGACATTCAATGTCTCTGTCATTTCTTGTGGACTTATTCCCTCAGGCTTCGAAGGACTTATTCCTTCAGGCTTCGAAGGACTTATTCCTTCGGCTTCCCGGGGACTTATTCCCGCGGGTTTCGGGGAACTTATTTCCGCCGTATTTGTAATCTTGGGGCTTATTCCCTTTACTTCCTCTAGCTGGGGTTGCGCAACCACAGCGAGATCTTCTACGAAAGACTCTCCAGTCGATCTAGGATTATCGTTTCGCTTAACCTGAGCGATCGATTGTTTCTCTTCTAGATGTTCCCCGCTAGGGATACATCTTTGTCCCAGTCCACTCGACTTATTCGAGTGGTGGACCTTCGGCGCAGCCTGTGGTTCCTCACAGCCGCCGGAACTTTATTCCGAAGTGTAACCGTTTGGTACACTAAGGTTTTGTGCAGTCGTACTAACGACCGTACCACAAGTGAGGCCATCGCACTCACTCGTAGTACATCCATACGCTTGTGGACGCTCCAAACGTTCATCAGATGGCCATCTGATGAACAAGCGGCAGGCATCGTTACTGTTCGATGTTGCCAGTTTACCCGTGGTTCGTACCTTCTGAGCCACGGTATTCCAAGGATGACATCAAATTTGTCATCCAAATCCAATACGATAAAGTCATCGTCATATTGGGTATCTTCTAGCGTATAGTGGATCTTCACTATACGCTTCATGACGGTTACGGATGCGCCTGTCGCAAGACGTACCGTCATCCTCGTAGGAGGTGTGTCACATTCACTGAATTTAAAGTGACCATCTTCTAGCGATTGGCGTCGCACAAAATTGTTGGACGCCCCACAATCGACTAGGGCTCGAAGGGACAACTTATTCGTCACTTCGAGTTTCAAGGTAATGAGTGAGATCTCATTACCTAGAGCAGCAACGCACAACGTTTGTGTGTTGGGAGCAACCTTCATCAAGAGGCCTACAAATTCTCTTGACGTTGCTGGACCAGTAGGGTGCTCCGCACCTACTGATCCTGTCCGTTTTTTGACGGTCCATCCCGTTGTTGCGTCTTTGCACCAGCAGCGGACCCTCGTCCCTGCCTCTTTCTCATGGGTGGACGGTCACTATGCTCAGTGTCGCGAGACACTGGACGAGGGGCACCACACTCGTAAGCGTAGTGTCCTGTCTTTTGACATCTGTTGCATCTCTGCAACTTCTTGTAGTCTGTAGAGCGAGCCTTCTCGCTCTCTACATAACAGAGTTCCATCGGCTCTGGACGTCCGTTGTCATATCGTCTCGGTTGACGATATGATGTCGAGCTGGCGCGAGCCTGTCTCAGACTGAAGTCTCCTGCTCCGCAATGGAAATGGCTTGTTCTAGTGAATCTAGTTCAAGCCGGAACAGGTGAGTCTTGACGGGACCATCCGCAAGATCCTGCATGAACACCGAAACCAACGTGTGTTCATCCACCGGATTGGAACTTATACAACTCGTAAGATGTCGTATATGTTGAGCGTAAGCGTGCACATCACGCTTACCCTGCTTGAGCTTCAAGAGTTCGGTTCGAGCTCTGAACTCAGCTCTAGGCGGTTCAAACGTTTGTCTGAGCCGCGACTTGAAGACTTCCAACGACCCAAACGCATATGGGTCGTGCAACTTGAGCCCCAGTGCCCAAGTCTTGGCACGTCCTGCCAGATTTGACTGGGCAAATGCATCTTGCATATCCCCGTCGTCGATGCGACGCGCCCTTATGGCGTCATCCAATTCGACGAGCCATCTCAAGAGGGAGTCTTCTTCGACCCCCCTATACTTGGAGATGTCAATCTTCAAGGTTTCGGGTCGACGCGAGTGCATCGACCCACCAGCAGCAGCCTGCTGCTGTCTCAACAGTTCAAACTGTTGAACACCCTGTTCTCTCAACAACTCTGCTTGTTGAGAGCCTTGTTGGTGAAGCAAGGCTACTTTCTCGCGTTCAGCGTCAAGTTCATTTTGAATGAACTTGGCGATAGTGGCATGATGGGCATCTCTATTGAGAGCCTCTAGCATGACGCTAACAGCATATATGCCCATGGTCGAACCCATTCGTTCAACCGCATCCCATTCGACATCGCTCAAATGGGAGTAGCCGTCACGCGTAGCGTGAAAGCTTTGGTCATCTTCATCATCCAACATATTCATGTTAGATGTGAACGTGGTCCTTGGAAGGACTACAAAGTGCTACCAGGTGTAACGGGGCACCCTGAAGCTTGTGCTGGTGACAGTACAAGCTACTTATTCTGATGACAGAATAAGGCGGTGCCTCGTAACTTCACGTACACTCGTACGTGCAGAGGAAGACGGTAAGAAGAAGCGAGTACTTGGTTAAAGTAAAAAGTAGAACTGTATTTATCATAGTTAATGTCTGCAATAAATCACTATTTTTCTTCATCTAACTATGTCTAAATACAAATGTGTAAATCAATTATCTGCTCACCACTCATTTCGTGCGTCTGTCGTGGCGCGTCTTCGTTGGTTGATATAATGGCCTATATCAACCAATTAGGAACTACTCGTAAGTGCTACAGAATACTTGTCCTTATGACAATATTCTGAGAATATAACTCTTATAGTTATATTCTATTAACAATTTCTTATAAATTGTTATGTAACGGTTCACCCCGTTACAGGATGCCAGTCCAGGGGACGATCTCCGCTATTCTGCGTGATCGTCATGTGTATCTGCACGTGATGGACCACGACCTCAAGAGTAAGAGGGCTCAAGTACTAGCATTTCTTGCATCTGATGAAGCCCTTGCGAATCGAGTGCTGCAGTGTCAAGCCAAGCGCGTGGTGCTGTCTGGGGATCTTCTAAAGGCGAGAGCAAAGTAATTTGCCACATTGAGCGGTATTCATGAAGACCACCTACTTTTTTTTCGAATGGGTGACTTTAATCTTTCCAGGCACGTCACGGCTTTAAACAGCTTAGCGCTCACGGTGAGAGCGGCTCCGTAAATTCGGAGAAGATAATCGCGCAGCGCGATGCCATCAGGGAACGTCTGAAAGGAGCCCCGCTTGCTGACATTCTTACAACATGGACGAAACACGACTGTTCTACTGCCATGCGTTCAATAAGACTATCGCTTAACGACAAGTGAAAGGATCGAAGTAAAGCAAGAAGTGTGCGACAGTCGCTCTGATGTGAAACGCTGACGGCTTCGACAAGCGCGAGCTCCTCATCATTGGTCACGCGAAAAAGCGGCGCTGTACCCAGAAGAAGACAGAGGATCAACTTGGACTCAGCTATCACAACAACATCAATGCGTGGATGACGGTGTCCTATTTCGAGAGTGGCTGCATGATCTTGACAACGACATGCACGCTCAAAAACGAAACATCGTTCTCGTTCACAACAATGCGTCGGAACATAATGCCCATGTTATGGAGTTTAAGAGCGTGAAAGTCGTGTTTCTTCTTCCAGAAACGCCTGCGAAGCTGCAGTCCATAAATGCCGGTATCATCGCCTTATTCAAGCGTCTGTACAGGCATCGCCAGCTCGAGCACGCTTTGTACATGGAAACTAGGATTGCAGACCAGCATCTACACCTTCGACCAGCTCACAGCGATGAAGTAAATAAAATCTTGCTGGACTGATGTCCCGATCGATTCTATTTTAAACAGCTTTCGGTGCACAGATCTCGTGCTCGGCCGTATGACCACTCGCCGATCGCGCAATGACGCTGATGACCAATTGAACACCAGCCTGCTAGAACAAATGCGTCATCAACGCATCCTCGACCCAATGGACCGAAACGATATCACATGCTGCTCTGCAACCGCCGCCGCGAAGATGGAAGCGCTATCTGCCATAGACCTTCTCAGCGAAGAAGCGGACGCGGGGTTTTTGTTCACGGCCCAAGAGAGCAGAGACTTTAAGAGAATTGGAGTAGATTAGAGAAGGTGTAAAAAACATGCCGACAGATATCCTGCCGAGGACAAGGTTGACGCAGTGCGAGCCATCATTTCGGTGCTCGGTGACCATCTTGATCTAGAAAGAATTGTCATGGGAGGGATGCGTACATTACAGCAGCGATTGCTCGAGGAGCTGAGGGTAGAAAAGTAGAACTTACTTACACAGACGCTAATACGTGATTACTTTTCTGCGGCACCAACCATTTAACTGTAGAATGCCAAGACGGTTATTGATCGATCTTGATAGTACGCGCAAGGTTCCATGTTGTTAAACGCATCCACCTTCCTGTTTGACATTTTAACTCGTTTACAATATCATGCATATTGAACTACACGAAGACGTAATTTAGATCCTAGATCACTTCTGTAACGGGGCACCCTGAAGCTTGTACTGGTGACAGCACAAGCTACTTATTCTGATGACAGAATAAGGCGGTGCCTCGTAACTTCACGTCCACTTGTACGTGTAGAGGAAGACGGTAAGAAGAAGCGAGTACTTGGTTAGAGTAAAAAGTAGAACTGTATTTATAACAGTTAATGTCTGCAATAAATCACTATTTATCCTCATCTAACTATGTCTAAATACAAATGTGTAAATCAACTATCTGCTCACCACTCATTGCGTGCGTCTGTCGTGGCGCGTCTTCGTTGGTTGATATAATGGCCTATATCAACCAATTAGGAACTACTCGTAAGTGCTACAGAATACTTGTCCTTATGACAATATTCTGAGAATATAACTCTTATAGTTATATTCTATTAACAATTTCTAATAAATTGTTATGTAACGATTTACCCCGTTACATCACCCCCCTTAACCATCAGTCTCTTTAGTGACTGATTGACTAAATGGATACTCGTCCCAAATCATTTGGGACAGGGTTTGCACTTGTTGGTCCGAGTCCACTTTCCAACATCTCATCGCATGGTTAACAAGTCCATGCGATGCGCGAGCAAGGCCGCCGAGAGCGCGTCCGCACGTCTCTGTGCAGACGCCGAAGGAGAAACACAGCGACTGATGTCTCATCGGTTGCTGAAGCGACCCAGCCTGTGTCACTTGGTGATGCAGGCGCTGGTCATGAAGACACTCGTGTCTTCACAGAGTACGAGCTCGGTGTCTCATACTCTCCTGATACGGAAGACGGATCCGTATCGACGGCGGTTGAATCCAAGCCGCCTGCCAAGCGTGGCATGGACGATGCTTTGCGTCGCAGCATCTTTGGTTCATCTGATGAATCAGATGAACCATCGCCGAAGCGTAGGCGCTCGAGGTCGCGAGACTCGGGCGCTAACAGTGGTGTCGGTTCTCCTATGGACACCACTTCGCAACGAGGTGCCAGTACTTCTGTCGGCACATCGCAGGAAGAGCGGGATCGCAGTGTGTTGCGTCTCGCTCCTGAGAAGAAGGCATGGATGCCTCCTAAATCCGTCATGGATCACTTGTCGGCGACGACGAGTGATCGTTATCGAACACGGTTGTTCGATTCGTCAAGGATCCATCACTTTGACACCATCGCGAAAAACTATCGCGCTGAACATGAATTCTTCATCGATGCTTTCTTTAGACATCGATGGTACAGTGGGAATCACAAAAGTGATGGTCTCTCACTACTTCAGGCGTGGAACGCCTACATCCATAACCTCGAGGATGTAGGTCGTGACGCTTGGAACGACAAACTTATCAAAGCTCGTGATAAGTTTGAAAAGCGAACCCCGACAGGTGCACGCTACAAGCTGCATCGTCTGTCAAGGGAGAAAGTATTACCCTGCCTCTCTTGGGGAGACTCGTGCACATGTTGTGTGAACAACTCTGCACGAGCACCTAAGGAGGCTTACCTCCCTAATAGCCCGTGGTGGCGCGTACGTATCTCTATTGAGATGTACGAAGGGATTGACAACCTGAAATCCCTTTACGACCGTGCCGGGAAGACTTTCTCCGGCGGTCCTTCTGCGGCACAGGATGTGCCGCGTCGTACTGCTCAACCAGACCCAATACGTCAATCATTAGTTGGGAGCGGGGCTCCCAAGAATCCCAGGACGGGGGATAGCCGCGCCACCGGACGAGATAACTCGTCCGACGTCCGTTCACGTCGCGGTGGTTCAACAGCTGCTCAACTAGATAGCGCTGGCCACCGCGAGAGTCCTCTAATGGAGGTGGAGGAGGAGGAAAGACGCTCTCCACACGATCATGGGGATCCGTGTGTTCCCGAGAGCTTCTTTGATCGCGTAACGCAAGGGTTACGCAACGATCTCGAACATGAGCGGGACAGGCGTCTCCAAATGGCGGACACTGTCTCGAAGCATCGAGCTGAGTTTGCCTTTGCTCAGCTTGAGAACGAGAGATCTCTGACATCTCTTCGTGACGAGCTAAGGGTAGCTCGTGGGATTGTTGATCGGTCTCGGGATGAGATAGCTGCTATTCAGACCCTTTTTGATGCCCGCCATCGGGAGCACAAGGCTCTCTGCAAGATGCTTGAGCGCAAGGGCGTTCTTCATCGGAAGAAGCAGCGTACTGATGGTACGGCTTAAGCCGACCAACGTAAAACGTGGGATGCGTTCGCATCTTACGTGGTAACTCGATCGTGTATGCATCGCCTAGGCGGTACAATACACGAAATGGGCCGATGTACTTGGGTAGTAGTTTACTGCTACCCAAGTTAGTCACTACATGCTTTGGTAGATTAACCGTAGACAGTAGGACTAAGTCACCTTTATTAAATAAAAGAGTGTTTGCCCTTCCATTCTTGTCAGCGTTTTGCTTTTGCTTATCCACCGCTTCGGCGATGGAGTCTTGCACAAAACGGACTACCTTTCACGAGCCAGTATGAACTCATCTGATGACTCGTTAGCTTCAGTGCGCTGTGAGCGCACTGCAGCAACATCAACCTTTTCTTCAGTGAGGGCTTCCGCACTCTCACTGGCATCATCTTCTTCAGTGAGGGCTTCCGCACTCTCACTGGCATCATCTTCTTCGATATCGATGTTATCAATATCGTCATCAAACGCAATGACCTCTTCGTCAGAGCGTGATGAGCGTGAGCCAAATCGGTTTTTGCTCGCGCGATTCCCTCCCCCCCTTAAACCAGAGTTACACTCTAGTAAGGTGGGTACACGCGGATGGCGCAAGCCATTCACGTAAAACGGTGTATGTGTCGTGGACGCATGCACCGAGTTGTTGATGGCAAACTCTACCATCGGCAAAAACTCACTCCAACTCTTAAAGGAGTGTACGTATCCTCGAAGTATATCTTCAAGGACACGATTGGCACGTTCCGTCTGACCATCTGACTCTGGATGATCAGATGTTGACATCTTCAAGCGCGTTCCGAGCTATTTGAACACGGAACGCCAGAAATCAGCAGTGAATCGTGGATCTCTGTCTGATACGAGTTCACGGGGCAACCCATGAAGTCGGAAGATGGTGTCAATAAAGACACAAGCACAGCCACTTGCCGTGATTGACTCTGGTACAGCCACAAGGTGTACCATTTTGCTAAATCTGTCAACAAATACGAGAATACCCGTATTCCCGCGTGCGTCTTTGGGTAACCCGAAGACGAAATCCATTGAGATGGATTCCCAGCACTCAGCCGGAACCGGTAGAGGCTGTAATGGTGCACGCAGTGAAGGACTTGACTTCACTCGTTGGCAGACTTCACAGGCGCGAACATACTTTCGCACAAACTGATACTGGCGGGGCCAGTAAAAGTCTCGACTCACCGTGAGATGTGTTTTCTCCCGGCCACGATGTCCTCCTATAGGAGCATCGTGATACTCGAACATGATCCGCAAACGCAGATCAGTATCATCTGGAATGACAACACGTGGTGTGTCACCAGAAACGGCTGTATAATACAGTAAACCGTTGCGAGTAGCGATCTGATGCAGATCGATACGCAGGCGACAATCGTTTCAACGAT